TATATATATATATATATATATATATATATATATATATATATATATAATCTTCATTCAGTTCGTTTAGTTTTACTACTTACCCAGAATTCTGCATCCCCATTTAAAAAAAATGTTTGTATATAGAATATGAATGCCTTGCAGAAAAGCAGCTGCACCTTCTACTTTTTTAAATAATTGACATTAGCTAGATTCCAACTAAATTTTATTAAGGAGAGCATGAGCAAAGAAAAAAGGGTATATAGAATCTCAATTCATATCTTCTCTGATCTGGATTATATCAAAATACCAAGTTTGCTGCCCAAAATGATAGAAAATATTAATATTATAAACATCCCTGCATCATCTATACAATGAATGTTCAAGGAATAAATTATGGTTCAATGACCTTTTTAAAATTGTGGTAATACAAATAATATTTGAAATATTAGTGATACATGTCTCAATATACTCTGCTCACAGTATACTCTACAACTACAGTCCAGAGAATTCAGATGTCCAACTGTATAAATTTGTGTTGTTTTGACTGAATAGAATAAAAATACAAATATGAATTTTGTTAAAGTAACATCTGATTTCCCAAACTCCATCTGTCACAAAACTTTGGTAGAGCTGCAGAAAGTAAACAACATTAAGTAAAAGTTAGAGAATATTTGTTGAAGCACAATCCTTACGGCTCTTGAGATACTAGAGTTTGTATGTTATTTGCAAGTTACTGGTAAATATTATTTTTCTCAAAGTGTTGTGACCAATACTCACAAATATGCTGCTTTTCCTTCTTCCAGCTCTTTACTCTTCCCACTGGACCCACTCTTTTTCCCACAGATCCTTCTAGTGATGCACATTAGCAATCCACACTGCCGTACAAAGAAGCAGCTGACGTCAGTCACCACAAGTATTAGCAGAAGAGCAGCTACACCCAGTCCAATGACTGCACCAAGTCCAAGTCCATTAAACAAAGTACCTTTAAAATAAATGGAATAGATAAAGTCAAAACAGTTAACTTCCTGTGCGGGAGAATTTGAGTTTATCCCAGAAGAGGAAGAGATGGGGGGGGGGGGCTGGAATAAGGGTGGGACAAAAATCTTAAACTTAGCCCTCTTGGATATAAAAGAAGGAAAGGAAAGCACTTTCAACATTCTGTTTGAATTAATAAAGTAGATGTTCAGTGATTCCGAGTGAATCTGTGTGTTTTTTTTAACATGGCTTAACTTGAAAGTGTAACAGCTCTTTATTTCAGTGATATGAATCATGTGACACCCACCCATCCACAGCCATATTTCACAGAATAACTAAATAACATAGTTGGAAAGGATCTTGGAGATTTTGTCCTCCCTTCTCAGGTGGAAAACCCTATGCCATTTCAGACAAAAGACTGTCCAATATGTGTTGAGTGGAAACCACATTTGCAAAATTGCAAATCTATATTGATGTACATAGGCAAATTTTCATATTACGGTATTAAAAGATGAATCAAATTTCTTTTCAGCCTGTGATCACTTCTACCTATAAAAATTAAATTATGATGTTATTTTTAGTGTAGTTTAAATGTATTGAATGTTTCATCTGTCTGTCAGCAATATATCTCTGAGAAAACAAAATGGAATGAGACCAAATTTGGTGTGGAGGAAGTTTGCAGATGGATCCAGGTAATCTTGACTCCGAAAAACAGAAAAAAATATATATGTTAAAATACAGGTGAAACTTAAAAAATTAGAATATTGTGCAAAAGTTCATTGATTTCAGTAATGCAACTTAAAAGGTGAAACTAATATATGAGATAGNTACAGTTTGGACCCCTTCCAGGCTAATTCATTTTCCATCATTAGGATTTCCTGCTTATTGTTGAGCCACTGATTTGTTGGGATTCATAGCTTTCATCAGCTTATCCTGGCTTCAGTTAGTGACTTGGGCTGCCTTTTGGTAGGAGGATGAAAGGATAAGATGAACAATTTCTCCCTTCTCACTGTTGGACTGTGGCTTTCTCGATAAAACATCCACCAACAAGTCTTTTGGTACTTGTTGGATATCTAGGGGTTAGGTCTCTGCTGCAGGTGCTGCAGGTTCTGGGCTCTTGGGTTCAATCATCCCTGGGTGGCCCTTTGGCTCTGCTGGTGGTAGCACCCAAACACAATCATCAATTTTCCACCACTATCTTCCCACTTTATCATAGGCTTCCACTTGTCAAGCCATGCAAGCCCCAAGATAATATATTCTGGCATCTCTGGAGGCAAAAAGAATCTGAGAAGCTCATAGTGGTGACCCACTTGTAACTTTACTAGTTTGGTCATTAGCGTGGCTGGGGGCCCTCTAATTAGCATTCCATCTATCTGATTAACCTGAATGGGACAGGCTAGAGGTCTTGTGCGTATGCCTAGTTGCTTCGCAATCGACATGCTGATTAAGCAACGAGTGCAGTCGATGTCCACGACTGCTTCAACTTCTCCTTCCACCACCGTTTCGGATACTTGGAGCTTGGCTTGGAAGGCAAAGGGATGGATGAGTGCACTCACCATTGGGTCATCTTCAGCATTTTCCTCCTCTGAGGCCTTCCCATTGGTAGGACTCTTCATCACCTTAGGTTGTTGATCCTCTTTCTGAGATTGTTGGTCCAGATGACTCTTTTCTGGTGGCATCTGTGGCCTTCTCTTTACTGCCATGGTGGTTGGTGCGCACGTTTGTGATATTGGGGCTGGAGCCAGGCACTCTGACGCTCTGTGGCTGATGTTGACAGCAACAGCAGCATTTTATTGCCCCACCCAAGGGACAGAACCCAGTTACATCTCTAAACTTAGGAATCCTCTCATCACATTGTTCCACTACCAATCCTGCAGCTTCCCTCTCATTCATCCCTTTTTCCATTATAGAGAACTCTTCTCTGTAGGAAGGTGGGATAAGAACCTGTTGGGGCATTGCAGGTGAGAGTGGACTTGGTGGGTGGGGGGTGAACCCCTGGGTTGGCCACTGCCCAGTTATCTGACATGGTGCCATCTGCCCACTAGCATCTCTCCCATCCATGACCTGGGAAGAAAATCCATTCCAGGGTTGCTTGATTCACAGGTTGCAGTTCCAACATCAGTGGCTGACTAGAGGAAGATATGGTCCAAGCCCCTTTCTGCTGGCTGGATTGATTTTCCAAAATTGATGGCCAAGTAGGTGCCCACTGGCATCTCTCCCATCCATGACCTGGGAAAAAAGTTCAACCTGGTGGTGCTTGATTCACAGGTTGCAGCCCAAACATAGTTTGCTCGCTAGGGGGAGATATGGGTCAAGCCCCTTTCTGCTGACTGGTTTGAATTCCCTATGTTGATTTGGAATCTGTCTTCAATCAGTTGCAGGGTAATGGGTCATTTCATTTATCGCTGTTTGGAAGGAGTCAAAATTGCCATTCCATTTCCCCCCCCCCAAGCCTTGGCTGGGGAATGAGGGGGAGCATCCACTCACATTTAGCTGCACAAGTTGGTCTGGGAGGCTCCAATCATATTGCCATGTGTGTGTGGAATTAGCCTTTCCAGCCCCCTCTGGCTGCATCTTCCCAGACTCTATAAATCTTCCAATTTCTTCCCACACAAATTCCTTGGCACTTAAGAAGATTCGCAGAGAGGTGTCGCATCTTCTGCTTCCATTCTCAAAGGCTAAATTTTCATCTTTGCTGATATTTTACGCTGACCAGGTCAGGTCAGTGTTGGGAGTCAGCATCCTCGCCAGCACCCTATGCTGGGGTTGCTGGTGATTTTTTTAAAACAGATTTGGGTTGATGTCAGCGTTCCAAATATCATCCAAAATTAAATCAGAGTTCAAGGCAGAGCTTTCCTCAAAGTTCCAATTTATTAAGAGAGACATGTTGGTACATTTGTGGAAACCTGAATCTGAAATCTTCTAGGGTTCCCACTCAGTTGAAATTTCATGATCTTGTCCCCCACACCCACAAGTCCATCGCATGGTCCAATCTTCCAGTGCCATGCTAGCAATTCCACCCATCCACTTCCGCTCAGGTGCAGAGGTGTGGAGACAAAGAATGACCTTGGGCTTTTGACAACAATACATTATGTTCCTTACTATTCCCCCTCCCAATTACCCACTAATGAAACAGCATAGTAAAATAAGAGAGTGTGTGGCATGCCAAAGATCCTAAAAGGAATATGACCAGAGACCTGACAATATGTTTCATATCCGTAGATTTTTCCTTCCAGTGTTTTAATATAGTTCTTTTAACCAAATTCTATCTCTCAAAATCCACCCTTACTGATATATTTCAAACATTCAAGAATATACACATATGCATATACAACTTCAACATACAGTATTTGAGCCACAATTATATTAACAATCTTCCTGATGTCAACTATAATGAGAAAAGAATATGAAGCCAAGCTATATGTTTCAATATTCTAATTTATTAATGTTTCTCCATTAGTAAAACTGTTTTCATTAGTCCTCATTAAACATTCTCAGAGGCATCCAATATATAAAAATTTTATGTGTTCTTCTATTATATTGTATTTTAAGATCAGAAGGAACTAATTTCTATTAGGAACTGTTTAAAGAAGCTCTGGATTCATCTTGAACTTCTTATCAAGAAAATAAGTGACTTAAGAATTATAGATAATTCTTCTAATCACTATAGATTACAAAAGTGGCAAAAGCCTTTTATTCAAATAATCAAGGAAAAAAATGTTGAGTTGCCTGTTGAGAAATTTAAAGAAAGTTACATCTTCTCCACAAATCCCTCCCCCCCCATGTGAATGCTTAATAAATCATATCAAATCAAGACTTTAACATTTGGAGAAACACAAAATGCATTTTTTAGCATCTTGTTCTTTTAAGTTAAAGCAAGAACATCACTTGTTAGAAATATTCCTTTCTTTCTAAGTGCACTATAATTAAAAAAATAACCCCATATCTATGGAAGAAGTAGCTATTATGCTCTTAGCATCCAAATTTATCAAATATATAGTTATAATTAGATCACATAATGAAATCCCTTGTCTTCTTTAAGAATAACCATGACATTAGCTTCATCACAAAAGAGAATGATTTCTTTGAAAAGCTTCCCTGTAAGCCTCTAATAAAATAGGACACATAGTAGGACCTTTTTAAAAAACATATACTTCTTCTAACAATTGACTGGCAAGCAGTATAGAGGAGCTCTCCAGATTTCATAATAATGACAACTTTTTGAAGGAAAAGTTGTAAAGTAAAATTAATAACCAGCCACACAATTGTTAGCTGTGACCTTCCATGCTGGATTCAGAAAAATCAATAGGATTCACTGAATGACTATGATTCACTTAAAACAACATGATTCACTTAATGACTGCAGTAAAAAATTCTTGTAAAATCAGTTATGGCATATTATTTTTGATTGGTAGATTTGCTAAGGATTACTAAAGTAGAAATATCTTGTGGTAGGATAACTCTTTTAAACTGAACAGTTCAAGACTAGATTTGATGTGGAAAAATGCACAAATGAACAACATTGGAGGATAGATAGATAGATAATGTATGTATGTATGTATGTATGTATGTATGTATGTATGTATGTATG